CCTTTCTTTTTCTTTTTTTTTTTTTTTTTTGTCTCCTAGTGCCAGGACTTCACAGTACAGCCAGAAGGGCACCTACGGTGGAGCAGGCGGTTCAAACCGTGCCTTTGGCCTCAGCCGCACAGAGGAGGGGAAAGGCTCCAACCCCGCCGCAGAGCAGGATTCCTGTTCGTCCGTCCAGGGGCCCCCCACGAGATGCTTCACGGGTTGAGAAGGAGAATGTTCCCACAAGTAAGCAGAATCAAACTTTCACAAATGACTCCAATAATTTTATTCACATCACACGTGACAATCGCAGGAAAAAAAATACAGAAAAAAATATGAATGGCTCCAGTTCAGATCACTTGTAAACTCCACATGTTTAGTTTAATTAAAATAAATGTCTACTCTGAAGCCTGGACACAACTATCATTGCACCAAACAACTTAGAAAAGTTTTTTTTCTTTTTGCTCTTCAGGTCAAGCATCAAAACCAGCTGCAGTGAAGGTACAAGGCCAAGGTGCTGATTATCAGAAAACAAGACAAAAACAAGGTATGAAATGCTTTTTTTCTTTTTTTTTTTTTTTTTTTTTTTTTTCCCCCTCCCAGAACACTTGAAAAAATGAGGGGTCAGATTTAGGATGTCTCACAGGGGTCACATCCTTTTTTTTTCTTTCTTTTTTTCTTTTAACCATTTCTGCAAATTCTTTTTACAAATTCTTTAATTCATTCTAAAACACGACTAAAAAAAAGATGCACTATTTATGCCAGGTCTGTATGTGTGAACATAAAGCAATCACGGAAATATACGAAAGCCAGTGTTTGGGTAAGGCATTCTGTGAAGTCTGATGTGCTTAAAGGTTCAGCTATGACACTATTTTTGAAAGGTGTGTGTGTAAAAGTTGCATGAAAATCCATAAAATTTAAAATGCCTTGCAGTGGTATGGAGTTGGTGTGAAAACGAAGCAGTCGTCGATTATGTCTTCATTAAAAACAGGAAAAAAATCCATATTTTATTTTGTACTCTAAACGTCCTGATTACTGCTCCAGTAAAGCCTTAGTCTCAGACAGGTAGAAGCAACTTGATGTGACGCTGCTTCTTTTGACTGAAGGAAATGAACTAGGTAACATTTTTTCCAGGGTGAAGTTGTGGCCAGTTTAAAACAGTCAAATTTGAGTTGGTTCTGATGCGCATTCGTAGGCAGTCGCAGGCCCAGGACCAGAAGCCGTGGCCAGCTCTTGGCGAAAAACTCTCAAGTCACAGCTTTGGAGTTTGAGGCAGATTTTGACTTTGAAACTGCGAATGCTCAGTTTAGAGATCATCTGACAAAGGAGGCTAAAGGTAAGTTCAGGTCATCTATGTCAGATTGGTAAAACTGGTAAAAAAAAAAAGTTTTTTTCTTTGTTTAGCAGGTGAGAAACCAGACTCTGGAGAGGACCAGGACTCAAAGCATGAGCTACAGGAGGAAACTCTTGCAGAGAAGTATTATAACAAAGCTAAATGTTTCTTCGACAACATCTCAGCAGACCCTAAACCCAGGTACTTCAGGCTGCCAATCTGAATTGGTACCAGTTTGCTCTGCGCTCGTCTGATTTTTAATTTTTGCCCAATGTGACCTCCCTAGGAGAACTACCTGGGCGGAGGAGAAAAAGCTGAACATGGAAACGTTCGGAGTCCCTGGTCGCTTTCTGAGGGGGAGAGCATTCAGGGGACGTGGCCACAAAGCAGAGGGCAGCACAGATCGGCAAACCCTCGCCAAGATTGGCAGCGGGAGGGTGTGAAAACCTTTTTGTTAATGCTACTGTAAATATCGTTTTCTACTTTAAATCAATCTGTCTGACTTGTGTATTTTCATTTAATGTTTAAGCTTTGGCTTGTTTACATGAAATGGGAGCAATTTCTTTTTAATCCAGCAGCTGTGTACTAGAAGAAGGCAGTATTGAATGTCCCTTGATCAGGATAGTATTTCTGTTCAGTGTATTAATTTATGTGTAACTCAAATAGTCTTGAAGCAATTTTTCTTGGCATTGGATTTTTTTTTTCTGCTCCTTGTAAAAGATTAAAAGTGGAGAAACGTGCAACAGTTGCTATTCAACTGTATGTTGTGTGAAGGTGGTTGTGATTTCTAATACAGTTGGCCAGGTCATTAAACTCTGGGCCTAAATTCTCAAGGACTTTATGAAGCGAGTAGTTCTCAGAAATGTCGAGGTAACCCAGATCTGCAGGACTATAGGGTTCCCCCTCCTCTGCATAGGTTTGAGGTTCATAATCAAGCAGCTCAGCCATTGGTTCCTGTAAAGAAGAGATCCTCTGTGGAGAGAGAGAGGGAGGGGGGGGGAAGGGAAGTTGTAAGGGCTAATTCATGTTCAAGTTTTGGAGCGTTTTGTGATACTAACCCTCTGAAGGAGAAGTAGTATTTCATCAGACTGGTAGCTGCTCGCAGCGTTGCATTCTTCAGTCTTTAAAAAGTGAAAAGTTTATTTTAATGAGGTGACCCAGACATTTTACATTTGGTATTCTAAGAGGTGGTGAAGTTTATATCTTGGATGGAATCTGTCTTGGCATCCTAATTTCAGTCAAATTGGTTTGTCCTGGAAGCACAAGTTGATGCCTAGTCTTTAAACCAAATCCAACTCCCATCACTGGATAAACCTTTAAACTGTTGCAGTGTTTGAATTGTGTGATTTATACAGGAACTGTAGGTTGGCGTTGGTGACTGAAACATTTAAACAGAATATTGTAGCCAGCATAGCACCAACTTAAATCACTTTTGTTGACTTTCTTCCATTTTTCTTTCACATGAAAATCAAAGGTGGCTTGATCCCCTTAATGTAATTTTCCATATAAATTGTCATTTTCTGCACATAATCTGATTTTGGTGATCTGATGAAATTGGGAAACTTATGAAACTAGATACAGATTGTGCTTGTCAAATTGCCCTCCTGCCTAAATCTGATGTGGTCAAACTTGGTTTTCAAACTAATTCTGTGCAGGAAATGCTTGAAAGGAACTTTAACTGAGACTATACAATACATGCAAAGTATCTGCATGTACTGCAGTAAACATTAAATTTCTTAGACTTTCTGTGAATGATTTCTGGTGCCTTTGCACAATATATTTTTCAGATTTCTCTGATATTCTCTCGAGTCCTAAAGTTGCCAGTTGCTACAGTCTTCAAACAAATTGAGGTATTTCTCAAACTTATTTTGCCAAAACTGTATTTGTCCAGGTGTGAGTTGATTAGCCAATCAAACCCAATTAGAAAAATTTGATTGGCTAAATGAGAATAATTCTTTTAAGTTGTGATATGCTATTTCTAATTGGGAACCCATTTTTATAGGTTGAGACTATTTAGATTCGAGTTTGTTTTTCACCAAGAGAACTTTCTTGGTGAAAAAGGAACACGAATCTAAATCTGCCAGGGATATGAATAATTTTGGGTGTAACAGTTATGCTCTCTACAAAAAATCAGGATCGGTTTGAATTTTAGTACAATAAAGCTGAAAATAAATATGTAAACACCTAATTCAAACATTGACAATGCACTAAGGTTCATAAAATAGCATTCATGTAAACTCCGTCACTGCTGGCTTCAGCCTCTGAAAACCATTCTGGATCTATGCATCTGTTTAGAGTTGTCTACTAAGTGAATATTAATTTTAACCTAGAAAGAGAATCTCACGATCTCACTTTTGAAAGTCCAAAACTACAAGTAGCAGGTGTTTATCAGGAAGATGTAGCCGTTGGCCGAGAAGTCCAGATGTGTAGATGCGAGGGGAGAAAACTGAATGTTCAAATTGAATCTGAAGATCATATGGTGCAGATTACCTTGTTCAAGTGTTTAAATGTCCTGAAGCTGTGTCCTCTACCCTGTGGAAGTGAGAGACAAACATCAAACTTTCTAGACTGACTTGTAAAAAAAACTGTAATTTACTCTCTACCTACTTTCCAAATGTCTTGTGTAAATTCATCTGAAACCCTCACGTTTTCAGATTGCTCATGTAGTGAAAATTCCCCTAACTTTGCAAGAAATAAACAGTTGATGAGATTTGTACAAAAATAAGTCACATTTTTGAGTGTTTAAAACATTTAATCAAATATTAAAAAAATAGAAGCAACATCGTTAAGTACAAACACTTCTTACTTTCACAACAGTCAAAATCCCATCATTAGTCTCTTCGTTTGTCTCCATCTTGAAGTGTCCTCCCTTGTCTCCTTGAATGGTGTATTTGGCTCTCCAGGCTTTGCTATGTGTCTTGTCTTTGTCCATCACATGGAGGCGCAGAGGAGAGACTCCGACCTCGTTTTCCTTCACTTTGCCTGAGCCCTGTTGTTTAAATTCAATGTAAAGGTAAACATTCAGAGGTAAATAGGAGTGTCTCAAGTTAACCAACTAAACGTGTTAGCCTTAAAGTTACAGTCAGGAGCACATAAAGCACATCACACATACTGACTTGGAATTTATCTGACTCAAGTGCTAAGGTATCTAAACAGTTGAGATTTGTACAAAAATGAGTCACATTTTTGAGTGTTTCTCATGTGTAACCTTAATATCACTCCCTGCTGCTTCAGCGTTTGAAGTTACTAGGCTTCCGTTGTAAGGGCAAATTGAGGTATTTCTCAAACTTATTTTGCCGAAATTGCTTTTAGTGCATTTGTCCTGGTGTGAGTTGGACGTCTGTTAGGACGTCCTGCCCAGCATGGAGTTAAGTGCTGAATGTACATGTGCTTTGTGCTTTTGTTGAAAGTTGCTGGTAACTTACGTGCCATTGGCGTCAGTGGCTGATTGTTTTATGTTGAATTGGTCGTATTGTCTAACATCTAACCATTACATTTGAGCATAAAACTATTCATACCCCTGGAAGATTTGAATTTAACGTATTTTAATTTTACAATAAGTGAACTGGAAGAGAACCATCTCAAGTGGCTGAGCCACAGCATTTATTTGAATCCAGAGATTGAACTAAGCATTAGGGTGATGGCAAGGAGGCCGTCCAAAATCTAAGACATGGAGCTCATCACTAGACAAATTTTAAGAAACAATATCCATAAAAATGCAAAGGCTGGTTAACGATTAGAAGGGTTTGATTGACTAAATGCGAATAATTGTTTTAAGTTGTGATATGCTATTCCTAATTAGAGTTTGAGACTTGTACCAACAAGAAAGTTCTCTCTTAGTGAAAGAGGAACTTGAATCTAAATCTGCCAGGGATATGAATAATTTTGGGTTTAACAATTATGCTCTCTACAAAAAAATCAGGATCTCAGTTTGAATTTTAGGACAATAAAGCTGAAAATAAATATGCAAACGCCTAAAACAAACATTGACAATGTGCTAAGGTTCATAAAATAGTGTTCACTGCTCCCTGTCACTGCTGGCTTCAGCCTCTGAAAACCATTCTGGATCTATGTATCTATGTTACTTTAAAGAGAGAGTCGTCTACTATAAGTGAGATATTTAATTTTAACCTAGAAAGAGAATCTCACAATCTCACTTTTGAAAGTCCAAAACTACAAGTAGCAGGCCGAGAAGTCCAGATGTGTAGATGCGAGGGGAGAAAACTGAATGTTCAAATTGAATCTGAAGATCATATGGTGCAGATTACCTTGTTCAAGTGTTTATTCGTACTGTATCTCCATGAGTTGTTACTGACGAAGCTGTCTCCTCTACCCTGTGGAAGTGAGAGACAAACATCAAACTTTCTAGACTGACTTGTAAAAAAGATGTAATTTACTCTCTACCTACTTTCTGAAATAGGTAGGAATAGGAAACAATTAATGAGATTTGTACTAAAATAAGTCACATTTTTGAGTGTTTCTCGTGTGTAACCTTAATATCACTCCCTGGTGCTTCTTCGTTTGAACTCATTAGGTATCCATTAACATCATAGGTTTCGCCTAAGGGCATGGGGCTAAACACTGGTTTGCAGGAGATGGTAATTAGAGCCAACACCGCCACTGCAAAAAAAAAAGTAATTTTACAGGAGTTGACACATTTCCAGGATGGTCTAAAGATAAATGCTTTCATTTCTTACGCAAGAATAAAGTTATTGCAAGCAGCAGTGCAACGGCTACAGCACCAGAGCTGCTAATCGTCAAGTTCAGATTGCGGCAGTGGTGCTCCAAGCAGGAGCACACGTTGACGTTCAGCTTGTAAATGCCATACGTCCCCTGCAGGTCTGACACCTTCACTCGAAGAGTGTAAAGACCAACAGCCACACTAGAATGCCTCACCAGGCCTGCTGTGAAACCTACAAGAACAAAAGCAAAGCTTGTTGAGGTGCTTGGATTGTGTCGCTGTGTTGAGATTTTTCTACGTTTTATCTCAGTTTTACCGTAAAATGGATCCAGTTTCCATTGTCCTTTGACGTCCCCAAGCAGCTCAAATTTGAAAGGCCCTCCATACGGAGAAGCGTCTAGATCAGTGGCTGAGATGTTGGTAGAAATTTTGTTGTCGGACATGCAGACAACCACATGGTTCACCTTCAGTTCTGGTACGTTGTCATTCACATCAATAACATGGATCTGCAGTGTAGCTGTGCCTGTCATGGGTGGCTCACCTGTTAAAAGTAGAAAATTGTGCTTTCACAATGGAGATTTTTAACGCTATGAGGATTATAGAAATTGTGATTACCTTTATCCACTGCATGCAGTATTACGGTGTAAACGCCGTTGACAACATGGTCAGATTCCCTGTCCACCATCTTTCTGGTAGTGATGTTTCCAGTTTGGGGATCAATATTCATCCAGCCTCCTGGATCATGTCCCACTTTGTAGCTGTTGACAAACGCAACTCACTTTAACGTAAAAAGATGCTAAATTGAAATTCAAAATGCAAATGTTCTGAACAATCCGAATTCGTGAACAGTTGTGGTCCTGACATAAATGACGGCCCGTCGATTGCTTCCCAGTGCACCCACCACACTACCATTGCCTCCCTCCCAGTGACGGTCAGTGCTCTGCATGCCCGCGTTCATGAATGTACGTCACATTCTTCACAACTTTGAGCTGAACGATGGTGTTTTTGAACTTGAAGCTAAGGTTTATACTGGTGTTTTTAAGGACATGTTTATACACCATATTCCTTCGAAGGGGATTTCTGAGTGACTGTTGAGCAAGGGGCTGGCTGGCAAATTGTCCATTCTGGAAAGGTTCGCAGTGATTGTTGGCCTTCCTTGGTCTAATGGGAGGCAGAGAAGAAGCCAAATCTACAATGCAACTTTCCTCTGAAGCTGAACGTCATAGTTCTTCAGTTTTCCACATCTCTCTCTCTCTCCCTTGGTTTTGTTTTACAAATTTTCATATTGTTCAAAGCACTCTAAACTCTATAACCTCAAAGCAGTTGGCCATTGCTCCCCATATTTACAAAAAGAGACACCTTACATGAAGTCGCTTGAAGCAGTGGCATCTCGATCCACAGCGGTCACTTTTTCCACCCAGGTTCCGATTGGCGCATCCTCCTTCAGGTTGGCCTCTTTGACGGTCACGACGAAGTTTGGGGGGTCGTTCACATCCTCTACCTCGATGACAACTGTTGTGGTGTCAGGCTGAACCCTCTTGCCACCGATTTGCTCATCAGTGAAATCAACATCCCAGGGGCCACGGGACAGCTGCCTTTTCACTTTGCAGGAGAAGTACGGCGCCTCATTTGTGACCGATATCTTCAGGTTTTTCATTGCTCCGTCTTCAAAGTCTAATGGCTGAAAAAAAATCTCTTTTTAGTTGAATTGTAATTTAAAAAAACATTTAATCAAATATTAAAAAAATAGAAGCAACATCGTTTAGTACAAACACTTCTTACTTTCACAACAGTCAAAATCCCATCATTAGTCTCTTCGTTTGTCTCCATCTTGAAGTATCCTCCCTTGTCTCCTTGAATGGTGTATTTGGCTCTCCAGGCTTTGCTATGCGTCTTGTCTTTGTCCAGCACATGGAGGCGCAGAGGAGAGACTCCGACCTCGTTTTCCTTCACTTTGCCTGAGCCCTGTTGTTTAAATTCAATGTAAAGGTAAACATTCAGAGGTAAATAGGAGTGTCTCAAGTTAACCAACTAAACGTGTTAGCCTTAAAGTTACAGTCAGGAGCACATAAAGCACATCACACATACTGACTTGGAATTTATCTGACTCAAGTGCTAAGGTATCTAAACTATGTGTGTTTGATGTTTTAAAAAGGTGTGCAGGTATAGGGGTGCAGTGCTGGTCATGTTCATTCGAAAAATAGTTTTCCCTAAACCTTCTTTCTTTCTTTTTAGGATTAGGGTTGGAGTGTTTGTTGCTGAAAAGCTCCGTCTAAATCCACACCACTGTTCCCTTTCTTTCCCTGCATGTTGGCATATCAAAAACATTTCCTGCATAGGTGTACATGTGAGGACGTCAGCGGTGGGTCTAGAAAATTACACATGTATCGACAAAGAAATGGCAACAGGTCTGGACGTGGCACAGGCCAAATAACGTATGCAACAGCTTTAAATGTATCGGAAGGTAAAGTATAGATGTGTCACTTCTTGAAGCAAAAGTCTGATGTTCAATAATGTAACAGAAATATTAGCTTGGTGTGACCAAACCGCAGGACTTCAGTTAAAGTCCCTGTAACGTTTAGCAGACTTGATGTGCTTTCTTTGGTGTTTATAGGACAGAAAAAAAAATGGTATCACTACCAGACCACCAGTTTGCATGTGGATAGCATCAATAATAGTTGTCATAGAGATCAGTGCCCGCCAAATGACACTCTTTGCTTTATTTAGTTTTGGACATCCTTTTTATTATTATTATTCTTTTAAGTCCTCATTGTGTGGAGAAAACATAAACAAGATTCCTTATCCAACCTAACGGCAGACAGCAACAGGCCTCTTTGTCCAGTGCAGATTTATTTCCGAAACATGAAGTTATGGATTTCTATGAGTCAATTGCATATATTGGAAACATATTAATACAAGTTTATACAACAACACTGAGTTGGTTAGAAATGTATTTGTGGTTTCTTATTGTGGATTAAACTGAATTGAATTAACTGTAGGCAAATTTAAACTCTGGTTATTCTAAGAATTTTAATTGTGAGATTATCCCAATGTAACAAAATGTTTCAGCGTTTCACACGTCTGTCTCTGCGGTCTCAGTACATGTCACTGGCTTTGAAACATCTCTTGCCATTCTGCTCGATTCTCATCTCCCTTTATGCGCCGTCTGATTTCTCCCATTGAGCTGGATATCTCTGGTAGAATTTAAACAAGTCCAATAGTCGACAGAAGGTTATGAACAATGACGTTAATTTTCTGCACTGTTGTAGTCTGCTTGTAGTTTTAGCAATGGCTGTGGAGGAAATGAACAAAACTGTTCAGTCTATGTTGGCTATGTCTGTAACACTGAATTAACATTAGCAGCCATCTTGCGTGGCTTGGCACTCTTCAAAGTCAACAACTGGGTAAAACTGAAAACTTAACAGAGTCCACTCCACGCCTCCAGCAAGCAGTTGTTTTTCAACAGCAAAGCGTAGCTGGTTTTAACAACATCATCTCCAAAATGAAACCCAAAGTAGTTATAAAACCAGTAGGAGTAAGAGAAGTCTTTATGAAAACACTGTTGGCTTCCAAACGTTTGTTTAAACAAGGTTGAAAGCCCATGATTGTCTGAAGGAAGATCAGTCTCAAACCCACGCAGGTTTGATGAAGGAAAAGGTGACCATGACGTGAGCCTGGTTGCCTACCGTTTGACCAATGATGACTGGAAGGTGGTCATTACTGTCCGCCACTTTGATGACAACTGTGGTTGAACTGGACAGCTGGATGACCTCACCATGGTCAATAGCCTCTATCACCAACCTGTGCTCTCTGGCCACCTATGGTGTAAGAAGAGACAGCCTCGTTAGTGTAAAGGGTGTGGAGGAAAAAAAAAGGTAGTTTTCTCTGGAATTCTGCGCTCCTCCCTCAGACATAGATCAAGAGTGGTGCAGCAGATAAAGGTTTTCCTTCCAGCTAATTTTCATTCTTCTTTCATAACACTTTTTTAAACATACTTTCTGTATTGTCAGACAGTACTCGGAGTGAGCACACCCTCAATGCTTGGATACACACCATATGTTGTGAAATTTTTTCTTGTCAGGTGCGATGTAGGCGAACTGGAAATAGCTGTGCTATTGTTTACCTTTCAATGCAACTATTCCTGATCTGTTTAGAAAAAGGGAGTGTCTTGCCTCATAATCAAAACAGCCTTTAAACGACAGCCCTCCAGTTTCTTTGAGGACAAATTCGATGTTTGAAGACTCTGGGGAAACTGATTTGATGGCGTAGTGGAAAGTTGAGTTGCGGGTATTTGGTTTATCTCTGTCACTGGCAAATACGGTGAGGAGATGGGAGCCTGCAGAGGATCAATGATTTAACAAAAAAAGGTTTACAACAGAGTAAAACACAAAAAACAGGAGACCTGCTGAACCGTTGTACCTTGATAAAGAGCCTCTTCAACTGTGACGTTATACAGATCGACATCGAAGAGTGGCGGGTTGTCATTGATGTCCCGAACTGTAATCTCAATTCCTAGTCGAGTGTCAATAGACTGGTCCTCCTGCTTCTTGGCTTCAAAACTTAGCTACACATCCACAGAGAAGCAAAGTTACCAAGTAAACAAAAGACTGAATAAAATGCTGATTCTGTCCACCAACTAGATGCAGATATTTCTAAGTCAAGACCACAGTTAAACCAAGCAGTTTTGCCCGTACAAATCAATTTGTTTATCCAAGTTAGTTAATTAGAAGGAAAGTTTTCAAAGCTTCCAAAATAGTCAAAAAAGCTTAACTTCAAACTTGGCAAATTTATTATTTTGGCTATATTATTGTTTGAAAGAGAATCAATTTTTGCTTAGTGCAAAAATATTATCAAAACTGAAGACATCTTTCCAGATATGTACTGTAGGGCAAAACTAATCAATGCATTTCTATGCCTTCATACTATTTGTAGTATGTAGGTGTGGTCCTGTAGGATCCATACATGTTTGGTTAATTGGACTTTCTCATCCAAAAGTGCAAAAAAAAAAAAAGAAAAAACAATGCACAATTTCATTTTAAAAATTGACAAAAACAAATAACTTCAAGCTATGTTATTTCAGCTAAATGGTTAAGTAAAAAAGAAAATTGTTTTGCATTTCATATTAAAATTTATCCATTGCTTTTCGCTATGTGCAGGATATGTTCTGAGATCCCATTTAAGTCTAACAAAAACAAAAACACATTTATTCTACAAAATATATAGCAGATCGGTGTAAGTGAGAAACTGAAAAGTTCATGGGTCACGACCCCTGAGGTGCAAATTCTGACGCCTGCTGAAATGCAGAAGATGTTGGCGGTCCGAGATGTTTTGTGTAAGGTTTGTAAAAGACGAACCTTTAGCACTTGGTACTCCTCGAAGTCCACCGGCTTGTAGACAACAATCTTGCCCGTCGACTCTTCGATTCTGAGGACTCCCTTCGGGTCCTGGTCCACTCCTTGGCCTTTCAAGTCGAAGAATACTTGATATTTGCGGTCGACAGCCACCTGCAACACGACTTTTGTTTTTACAATCTGCTTTTACGAGAATGAACATTTCCTTCACACCTGATTAAATTATACAGAAAGATAAGTCATTCAGTTTAAAGCATATCTCTGTATTTGCAGTGAAAACAGCTGAATTGCAGTGTTGGTAGATCCGGTGTTTTCAAGAGGAGGATCCCCGATGCGTTTGCGTCTTGTTTTTTCACACGAAGAAAGACGAGTTTTCTGAGACTTCTTTACCTGGCTCAACTCGTAAGGGAAGGGCCCCGGGTTCCCTTCTTCTATCTCGTAGGAGTCGATGATCCAGTCTCTCTTCTGGCGGCTCTGCGCCGCTGTGCATGACGGACTTGGCAGCAAAACCATCTGAAAGATAAAGAGCCAACCAAACCTGAAGGGCAATGAAAGCTGGCGTCTACACAACTATTTTTGCTCAGCTACACACTTTCTGTCAAGTGAAAAACCAAAAGGCTGACTGGAAATGTTTTCTCTGAGAAGATTGAAGTTTGTTTGTTTTTTCAGTTAAACGTAACCAGAAACAAAAAGAAAATAGCTTAGCAAAATGTAAAATGTCTAAGTTTTTTTTTTAAAAAAAGAAAACAAGATTCAAACTTAAATCAGAATCCCAAGATAAATTTAGGTAAAGCAGAACCTCTGGAGTTAAACCTGACATCTTTAATACAGGTGATACATACCAGCAGGGTAAAGAGAAGCATGATGCTTGTTCAGTGCCTGCAGCACAGAGTATGTGTGTGTGTTGACAAAAACCCTGGACTCCAGCCTTCACACACACCCGCATAAATGTCACAATCAGTTACAGCCGTCTCTGCCTTTTCCAGCTTAGGCAATTTTTTTTAAAATTATGACTTTAAAGACGTCATGGGGGAGGGGATCTGCTCCTATTACTGAGCAGACGATCAGGTTTCAGGCACAAAATATGTGTGGCATCGTGCCAAATTATTTGCAGCGTTTTGTTTTGCATGATGACGTTGATGGAAAAAACTCACAGCTGCAAAACGTAAATTGATGTGCACATCTTTAAGGAAGTAAAAATCAGACAGAAGAGGGACATGTTCTTCCTGTTCCCTTTGTTCTGTCAGGTTGCTTAACAAGATATTTGCATATTTGGGGCAGACAGAGTCCTGTCAGGTTAAATTACAAAAATGTGGAGCTCTGGTAATATGTTTCAAAATCCAGAAATGCTGTCTTTGACACTACACACCGTAAAAAAAAAAAAAAAAAAAAAAAATTAAAATAAAAAGGGCACTTTTAAGAGGAGAAAGAGCAGGTGCTCTACCACCACCAAGTTTCTATCAGTGCACGTCCCTGGGGATGAACATGCAGTAATATTTTGATTTAAACTTGTTTCTATAAAAAAATATTAGTCATGTATTATCCTCAGTTAGGAACTACATTAAACCCCCTAAATTGTATGAAGCTTGTAGATTTATTATGACAAAATTTACCTTCAGCTGTAAAAATGCTGTATATACAAAATATGACTTAAGAGAAATTTGACTTAATTTAATGCCCTGAAATGGGGCCTCTGTGTCTTTAAAAATCTGAATCTCCGCCTTCAGAAAGTCATCACAACATGGCTCCTCCATTAACCTTTTAATGTCTTCACCANGCACTGAGAAGTAGCTCATATAATGATCTCAGCTGATGTGCAGTTCCACCAGGTGTTTGCTAATTGCTGCTGGCTAGTCTGAAGGAGCTGAGTGGGGAGTTGCAGGGGGAGGGCTGGAAACTACAGCTCTGAGGAGGAGTTGCGGCCTCAAAGGCGGAGCTAGGTCCACCCAGGCATTTTAGCTGAATGGTTGCCACAGGAAATTAAACAATTTCTCAAACATGAAAGAATCATAGCAACACTCCAGCTCTGTTTTTTGCATGAATTAATAACATTATAATATGATGTAAAACTTAAAAAAGTTGATTTTACATAATACTGCCCTTTTTAAATGAACACATTTTCAGTGCCTCAAATTACTCTTAAGCCTATGTTATCTCTTCTTTGTCAGTGTGGATACATGCTGACATGATGGCCTCCAGTAAGCTCTTTTGTGGGAAAAGCCTTTTTGAAGTCTGATTGTAGCGCTTTGCGAGTTTTGCCTGAAGCGCATACTTTTAATTTCAGTCTGAAGCTGAGCACATTCTCATATTCATCATTCACAGAGTGTTAAAACACCCCAGAAGAACCAGTTCTATTACCGTCTTCCTTTATTTTCAGTACCACACACAAGTTGTAAAATCTCAGTGCTTTTTCTAAATGGAATAAAATAATAAAAAAAAATTATAGAATTTCTGTCATCTCTTGTTTTAGAGTTTTATTAATACTGTACAAAAATCATTAGTTTTCCACACTGAAATGACAAGAAGGAAGACCAGTCTAACCAGAATCGGCATATTTACACCTCGTAGCCCGCGCTAGAAAGTACATATCGATTAGCGGGTTACCATGGAAACCTACTCATTTAAAAAGTATTTCCTCAAACAACGTCCTCCTTTAGTTGGTGCGTCCTCCGTTAAAAATCTCCGCGTTATTTCGTACGGGACGCTTCTCCCACACTCCGAACTCTCTGCTCTCCGTCCTCCGGCGACACGCCTCTGTTCACCGCTTCGCCGCTCGGCGTCTCTTCGTTGTCCGACCCGACCAGAGGAGTGTCTCCTCCGTTGACGTTGGCGGTCTGGCTGTCCGAGGAGCAGTCCGAAGACGTGGAGGACATGCGGGACTTGCCGTCCAGACTCTCCAGGACGTGGCGGAACAGCCCGTTCCTGATGGCCTCCTCGTCGCTGCTGTGGCCTGCTAAGGTTTGGAGGTAGAAAGCACAATGTTACTCGTGGTTCAAAGTCGCTTATTATTGTTTTGTAGGATGAACACTCTAAAAATAATAATACGGCTATATGGGCATATTATAAAACTTTTGAGTCTAACTTCGACTTTTTAAGAACTAGATTTTGAACTTACTGCAGTAAGTCATGTCAACCTTTTTATTAATTTTGTCCCATCGGTTTACTAAAGTAGGGATTTTAGGTCTGCACTTCTAAACTGAAAGATAAAAATGGCGGGAGTGGAAACCATTTCCATTTCCCAGGGTGCTTAGCGGTATGTTGTGTCCTGCGTTGCACCACTGGTGAGATGGAAATGTGTTCCAGGCCCCTTATATGGAAGAGTACTAGAGCCACTAAAATGTAAAAAAAAAAAATTTGACTTCATTTTCAGAATTTTGACAATTTCACAAAATTCTGATTCATCTCAGAATTCTGACTTCTTTTTTTAATCGGAGTTCTGGCTTCAATCTTCTCAAAAAAATGTCTGAATTCAGAGATTAAAATCTTTTATTTTTAGTGCTGATTGTGGCAAATGTTAAATACAACTGACAGAAATGACTGAGGATAATGTCTTCAAATGCTGCTTAAGTCCAGCTCAAAATAATACAGTGACCCAACAAATCTTTTGCTTAACTACTTTAATAGAGATGGTAGAAATACATGTAATTTCCTGTAGCGACAATGTAAATTTTTGTTCTATTCGGTGAGATATTGATTACTAAACAATGTCAAATGTAGTAAATTAAGTAATAAAAAACAGTTGCTAAAACACATTTTTCAGTAGGTAATTGGTCAATTTGAAGTTAAAGCCTATAAATGTTTTGAATTTTATTTATTTATGCCCTTTAATACTTTCAACTCATCTTTTCAATCTGGTTCAGATAATACTTAGTTAATCTACTCAGTTGATGGCGTGGTTTAAATGGTTGAATCTGATGTAATTAAAAACAAAGCTTATACATTCAAATAAACTCAATGTCTTGTAAAAATGTTACTACATTTTGCTAAATTTAATTAGCATATCATTTTTCAGTGTGCATTATGATCTAGTTCCAATAGTTTCAATACCCGGCAGCGGCGAGGACAGCACCGCTTCCTCCCCCACGGAGCTGAAGAACACATCCACCGGGTCTGGGTCAGAGAGGTCGATGAGCTCCATCTGGTCCAGGAGATCCACGTTCACCTCCATGGAGGAGATGCTGCCGATGGGCGCTGGAAAATCCGAAGAAAGATAACAAAAAACAATTAGAACGTCTTTATTCATGGATGCAGAAGCCTGTTACCGAACGTCCAGCTTACGTCTCCTGTAGTCCCTGATGCACAGGTGTGCCGAGGACAGGTAGACGTCCACTTCGTGCTGGAAGACCTCCTCGAAGAAGCGTTGTCGCTCCCTAAGCTTGAGCTGCTGCGCTGACTCCATGTCTGGAAGCCTCTGGGCATGCTCTGTCTCTGCTGGGAATCATAGGATGCAGCAGGACAGGAAGTCAGACGTTGCTGCAGCACATTTCCTATTTACAGGTTTAATGTCAACAGGAGTGATGTGACTAACTGCCCAGGGCAGCAATCCACTAGGGAGCGGCACGGAAACAAAAAACAAAAAAAAGATTCTGCAAATTACACTCCAATGTGTTATCTGGTACTCTACTGTCATCTCTC